GTGAGAAAGCCCCGGATCCAGCCCGGCTGGGAGGGAGCGGGAGAGCACCCTCTCCCTCTCCCTCTCCCTCTCCCTCTCCCTCTCCCTCTCCTTGCTCCCTGCTCCCTGACTCTGCTCTCTTGTCATCCGCTTGCTCCCTCTCCAGCCCTGCCCCAGGGGTGCCGGCGTGCATGCAAGCCCTGTGCCTCAGTTTCCCCTCTGTAGACTGCAGTAGGGTTCTGCAGCTAGAAAGCTTTTCTAGCAAAACCCATCATGTTTTCTGACCATGGGCTCTGCTATGCAATGCCAAGCTAGGATCCCAGCAGCCCACCCTTGCGGTCTATGCTCACAGCAAACCAGCTGTGTTGGCCCTCTCCAGAGGGCACCGTCAGGCTGCTTTTTCCCATCAGGGTCCTGCTCTGGTCCTAGACGCATCCCCGAGCGTGTTATGCCAGTGAGGCCTGGGTTGCAGGGCGCTGAGGAGATCTCCAGGAGAACAGCAGCACTGCAGGGCTGCGTGCCACGTGAGGGATTCACACAGACATGGGTGCAGGGATGTCCCCTTTTGTGTCGATGTCTTCAGGCTTTGGCATCCTCCTGGTGCTGCTGGCTCACCGGTGCAGCAAGGGCACCCTTAGCCAACTTGCTGCATCCTTTACTTCTCTGGTACGGCATGCAGAGGGGTCTTAGGTTGGTGCACGGCTTCCCTGCACCAACATCAGTATGGGCTGCTCCATAGCAAGACATGGTGCATGCACAAGTGCTGTGGGACTTGTGATTTGCCCTTGCAGCCCTCAGGGGAAGGAGTTTCCCAGCCTGGGGGTACTCCCTGAACTCTTGCATCACTGCATCCTGGTTTGCATCTCATTTTCAGTAATGGCCACGGGTAAGGCATCTGCCTCAGCGGCAGGGAGGAGACCAGTTAGCTCTGTGGTGGGGAGCGCTGCTGGGACCGCGGTGGCGTGGTGAGCCGTGATGTTTGCGCTGAGGCTGCCAGGCCTGCCAGGTTTCTTTCAAAACCCCTGCTTGGAGAGAAGAGCTTGTCCTGGGGCATCCCAGGTGGACGCATGTTTTTTTGGAAAGAGGGATCGCCACAGATTCAGACAGCCTTTCTGAAGGTACCCTGGTGCACATCCAGTTCAGGGAGTGTATTTTATGGCAAGGTACTGTGCGAAGGTGCTACAGTTAGAGCCAAACTCTGCTCTTAGCAATGCAAGTGTCCAGGTACCGAGAGGAGTTGACTTCGGTGTCATTTCAGATAAGATTTTTACCAACCCACAAGGGCAAAATTTATCAGCTAAGGTATCACATCTCGTCCTCCTGCACGCACCAGCCCTCAGCATTTTGCAGTCTTTCTGCAGCTCTGGCTGTCCTCCTGCAAAGAGCACAGAGTGCACGTATGTCCTGGAAAGCCAAGTGCAGTGTGAACGCTTGGTTGGGTTTAAAATCCTCTTCTGCCTCTAACCTCTAGGACTGGCTGACGAGGCCAGAGGAAGACTGCTCCCCACCACATGCTCTTGTCCCATCTCCAGTTGCCACCGTGTCTCTTGGGAGGCAGGGCCCTGGGATGGGATGCTCTGCCCCACTGAAAGCATTAACACTGCCAGTCTTCCTGCAGAGCTGAATTTGCTCTGCTGGTTTCAGGTTGTTCCTCCTCATCTTGCCATAAGCGGTCTTTCTTCCTCCCTTTGAGGACCTCTGGTCTTTTGGAGGATCATACCTCAACAAGTTTGTCACTCCCCAGGGACGTGGCAGAGAAAGCCATGAGCGCTGTAGCTTAATGGGGTCAAGAGAGCAGCACCTCCTCCCCATAAGCGATGTCTCTGTCGCAGCCTTGAAGACAATTTAGCCTGGTACCTGCCAAACTCGTCTGCCACTCCATCTCCCATTAGAGCTGGTGAGCTGCCAGGGGAGAAGGTGAGCTGCTGTGCACAGCCCAGTCCAAAGCAAGGTCTCAATGGGGACATCAGCGGCAGACATGGGGTGAAGGCCCTCAGATGCTTCAAGCAGCTGTTAAACACAGACCAGGCTCCCCTTGCAAACTGTGTCCCCTCCTGAGCTGGCAGCAGTTGCATGGAGGGACATCCCCTTGATCAGGACCTGGTGATAACCCCACCTCTCCGGGCAGCCCCCCCAAAGGAGCCAGTGCTGATGTGCCGGTCCAACAACTACCCGAAGGGTTTCTACTGCAGCTGGCACCTGCCCACTCCCACCTACATCCCCAACTCCTTCAACATCTCCGTCATGTAAGTGCCCGGGAAGGAAGGATGCAGTGGGGCAAGTTTTTGTTCCTGCAGCCTGGAGCAGGTCCCAAGTAGTGCCGTGAAGTCTCGGGGCAGTGGGTTTGACCTGTGCTGAGCTTAAGGGATCGGTGTCCCAAAAATGGGCCTGGGGAAGGATGCTCCAGGGACATCCAAACTGGATGCTTAGCACTGGGGCTTTGTCCCAAGGAAGTTCCAGTTTCCCCAGAGGGGACCAGGAAAGTCCCCAGCTGCCAGGTCCCCTTTCCATGCCCCACAAGTCCATCCTCTCTGCACCACTTGTCCACAGTGGAGGTTGTGCCTGCTGTTTTTTGGCACGTTTGGCACAGCCACGCTCCCTTCTGCCATACGCTGGCTGCTGCGGGGCAGCAGCAGTGTCCCTCACCTAGAACTGCCCATGGCATGGCATCGTCCCCTACCCTGTGCACAGGTCCTGTCACAGCCCTTATACAGGCTGATGCCATGCTTTATCTTCTGGGGCTTGTGTCACCAGCAGAAAGGAGACCCTGTTCCTCTCACAGGAGGGATGGAGCTAACCCCAACCCCAGCAGAGTCTCATCCTTTCCCTGGGGCCAGCGTGAGGACATTTACTGCAGTCTCTGTGCAGGCTTAGGATAAAACATTAGCCTGCAAAATGCCCCGGCAGGAGGAAAGCAGCCCTTTGGCTGCAGCAGGGGCTGGTGCATGGGGACCGTGGGCAGAGCGGGGACATAGCGCTGCTCCTTCTGCCTCCTGCCTCCAGCAGCATGGGTGCATCCCCACGCCGAGCACTGCTCCGTAGGTGACAGCTCTTCTCGCCTCTGCTTTCCAGACATGGCACGAAAGAGATGGTCTGCGTGAAGGATGTCTTTCCCAAAAACAGGTGTCACATCAGATACCTCCAGCTCTTCTCGACAGTGAAGTACAAGGTGACTCTGACAGTCACGAATGCTCTGGGCAAAGACTCCACCACTCTCACCTTTGACGAGTTCGCCATAGGTAACTTCTACAGCAGCAACTGGCCTCTCCAAGGCGGTGTTGGGGTTGGCTTGCTCTGCACACAGCATTGCCTGCCAGAGCAACGGGCCAGGGAAGGGGCAGGCTCTCCAAGTGGAGCCTCTGCCTATCCATGGATGTGATGGAGCTGGGGTCTGAGCCACACTGGCATCCTCCCTGTGCCCCCCTGATTCTCACGGCCCTGCTGTAACTGATGCTGGCACCTGAGCATCCTGGGTGAGCCAGGCAGGATGCCCACAGGCAGCACCCATGCTGGTCCCCTCGGTGGCCTGGTGCCCTGCCTGGTCCCATCCCCAGTGGTCCAGGTCTCCCGAGGTTGCTGAGCTACTCCCTGCTTGGGGGCTGGGGAAGCGGCTGCTGTGTACTGGGGCAGAGGGCTGTGAAACTGGTGTGGTCCAAATAGCATTGCCATTCTTGCCCCTATGAGTATTCCTAAAAGAGAGGTTTGGTGTTTATGCTGGAAGCAGAGTAATGGGAATTAGGATTCAAAGAGAAATTAAAATGTCCTATCCTCTTCCCCCCAATCCTAGTCAGGATAAAGCCCTCCCAAAGTCATTCTCCACCAGCCCTTACCTAACATGCTCCTAAAAACCGTATTCCCCACTTTGCACCTCTTCACTGCCCCTCCTGCGCTGCAGATGCTGTGCAATGTGGGACAGGGAGCAGTGGGCCCTGGGGGCCGGGGTGTCCGTGCCGCTGGCCATGCCGCAGGGATGCTGCCCAACCATGTCTGGGCCCGCGGTGTGGATGCTCCTCTGCCTGTGAAGGACCGGCGTGGACCGAGCAATTCAGTGCCAAGCACAGCAAAGCAGAGACCTGGGCACAGTGCTTTTGCCACTGTATTACAGCCAATGCCATGACAAGACTGTCCGTCCTCACAGAACAGGAAAAATGGGAGAGAATAGAGTTCAGGAACGTGTCAAAAAACAATTTGCTGGTTACACGTGGCAATTACTGGACCAGAAAAAAAAATAAATGAATCCTTGAAGTGCAGCCAGCAGTCAGTCTTTGCCTTCCATGTGCTGCATGTCCCTGTCCCGAGCGTCTGGAAGTGCCAGAGTGCAAGAAGACGAGCTCCACTGGTATCCCAGATTTTCCCTTTCTACCCCATATCCTGGAAAACATCAAACAAGAAACAAGGTGCCAGCTCTGAACAGAGCAGAGAAATTATTTTGGAGCAGGGACTGTCCTGCCATGTCCCTGCAGCTGCGGTCCATATCTGAAGTTTGTATTTGTCAGTGCATTGCAAACGCTGATAACAAGGCAAGGAGCTTAGCAAGGAAGCGGTGGAGTTTCAGTCACTTGGGTGCCTTTAAATGGAAATTGTTGTGTTTGTGGAAGATACACTCCTTAAAAATGAAGGTAACCTCCAGCCTGCAGGGCCCAGGGCAGCAATTAAGCTGCATTTTCCGAGTTCCTTGCATTCCCTCCTGCAGGAGTTCAGGGCATCATCCTGTAACATCTGCATCCCACCCATGCCCTGCCTGGCTTCCCAAACATCTGGTCCTCTGTCCAGCACACAAGGGCAACCCCCCTGGGAAGCACACCCAGCTGCAAGCCCCGGGCATCCCAGCACCAGCACAAGCCGGATCCAGTTCAGCAGTTTGAACTCAGCCCGGGTCGGAGGAATGGTGAGCAGAGGCAAGCGCTGCACAGGCCAGCCGTTAGCATGGTGCAATATTGCTTCGACTTGCAAGTGCTCCCGGAGCGGTGCAGGGTGCCTGGCCATGTCCCGGCGGTTGTGGTCGGAGGTGAGACCGCCCAGCACCTCCTGGCAGATGCTCTAACACCCTCTGGGACAGCACTCGGGGGAGGGATGATGGGCCGGTGCTGTTAGGAAGGGCTGTGTCCTGCACCCCAGAGCCAGCCCGCTCCCATAAACACTTCAATATCTAGTGACCTTAAAATCTCCACGTTCTGTACAGCTACGAAATTCTCCTCCTCAGGATTTGGTACGGGCGCCGTGCATAAGAAGCATAGACACGGTGGTGATTGAGTGTTCAAGCAGGCAGTCGACAGGCTTAGCAGAGTCATTACAGGATGAACTCAGCTGCCACCGATCAACAGCCACCTACCCTGAACGGAGCTTCTCCTTGTGCTGTTCCGGTGTTTCCAATTAAAACAAGTGCGTTAGTGTGCATTTTGCCAGGCAATTTTGCTCCAGTTTGCCTGCTCTCCTTGCAGAAGCATTTCAGTATCTCTTCTGGTTCTCTTCTCTGCGGCTGCAAGCCCAGGGCTGTGTCCCAGTGTGGTGAGTGCTGGCAGTGTGGTTCTAGCGCCCAGTAGGTTCCTGGGGATCTCTACCAGCGTCAGCTGGGCTGAGATCTCATCTTGGAAGTTGTGCTGGGTTTTGCTCTGCTAGATGGAGGGGTGGAGAACTTATGGCTCAGGACAAAGCCATTGCATCGTCTCGTTGGATAAGTGCTGCGTGGGAGCATTGCAACATGTGCACGCATCCTGCTAAAATGGAGAGATGGCGTCACCAGCAACTGCACAATGCTTCTCCTAAAATCCCAAGGCTGGGGATGTCAGAGCCTGCCTTGTGTTTTCTGCTTAGCCTAGAGAAAACCATCACACCTTCTGCGTGGAGGTTAAACCCCAGGTGTGAAGCCCTGATCTCATGGCCTGCTGGGGACGGAGCAGCCTGGAGCCAACGCGAGAGCAGCGCGGGGCCAGCAGCTCTCCCTCCCGGTGCCGGCTGAGCCGGGAGCCGACCCACTGCTGAGTCAGACCGCCCACCCAGCCTGGGCAAAGCACAAAAAGCCCCCTGGGAAGGAGTGACCTCCTTAGGTTTTGCTTCCTCTCTCCTTCTTTCCTCCCTAGAGCACTGAGCAGAAAATCCCTTCCCCAACCACTCTGAAGATGGGCTTTAATTGAGTGGAAAATGACTGGTACTTGCTTTTGCTATCCTGAGCCCATGCCTTGCTGGCAGTTGTACCGTGCTGGTTATGAGCAGCCAGCTGCGAGGGGTCACTCTGCATTTCCATTTTCAATGATGACTGGCAGAGGTTTTCCAGCCCTCTGGCCCCCATCTCTCATCGGTAGGAGATCCGGGCTGCCTTCCTCACCAGCTCACTCCTGGAAATAGTTTTCATAATTACATCTTCTGTCAAGGTATTAATATTAATAAAGGTGAGCGTGGGGAGGGCAAGGCTTTGTAAAGCCCTGCAGACATCAGGCTCCAGCCCAAGGCAGGAGGAGGTGGGAAAGGGACTGGAGAAGCCGGAAAGGAGAGGGCTTGGAGGCAGAGAAAGGTGCCAGGGAGGAGTGAGGTGGTGTGTCAGGAGCTGTGCACCTCCCTCATGATGACTGGGACAGAGTGGGGACATTTATGGCCAGAACACAACCCCACCTTCCTTGCTTATGTGTCAGCCCAAGAACCTGGTAGCCGGCATGTGCATCCCCAGGAAAGCAGGGACATCACCGCCACGCAGCAACGCCAGCATCCCGCCTCAGCAGCTTTCTCCTTGTGTGAGCCCGGGGCAAATTAGCAGGAGAAGATGCACAGCATTAAAAGGAGGAAGGCAGCCTTGGACAGGGCCTTGTAGGCATGGGTGCATTCCCAAATTTGCCACCCATCCCTTGTGTGACCTTGGGAAGATTGTTTGATTCTCCCAGCTCCAGCTCTGGAACGATTAAGACGCAGAGCATCTCGGAGGGGCTTCGTGAGGACAAACATGCCTGTGTCTGTACAAAATTCAGAGTCTCTGAACACGGGTATACAGTTGCCTAGGCAGAAGGTCAGTTCAATTCATACTACTTAGGGAGGCAGAATTAAATTACCTAGACTGACATTTGGCTAAGACATGGAGTTTAATATCCCTCTGCTCATGGAAAATGCCAGGGGATATTTAACGGCCACAAGGGATCCATTTTAGTGCTTGTTGGAGAGATGGGATGGGCGATGGGCCCCTCCATGCCGCGGGATCTCAGCTGCCTTTCTGAACTGCAGGCTTCATTTCGAGATGTGTCTAACAACAGCCAGGGGCAATGGATAGCTAAAGACTCGCGGTTAAGCGTGAGCGTGCAGAGCCTTTACGAAAAGCCGCTCTCCGCGGCTCTTCTTGCACGCCGAGCCCTCGCTTGGACGCAGCAGCCGAAGACCAAGTGGGAAGAGCTATGAGCTGCCTCCCAGCCAAGTCCCCTTCCCAGGAATGTCTGGAGATGCTCCCTCAGCTCTGCGGGATAATATTACATCTGGTTTTGTAGCCACTTAACCAGTACTCAACCTAATGCCCATCGTCCATTATTATTATTACTATTATTGCTTTTATTACGTTACTGCCTGCAGGCCCTCGCCGAGAACAGGGCTCTATTATGCTGGCTGATGTACAGCCAGACAGCCCCTGCCTTGCCATGTGTGGGCTAGATGGAGGCAGACAAAGGCTGGGGAAGGAGGAGCGCTCATCCCTGTGTGCGGAGCAGGAACCCAGGAGGCTGCGGAGGATAAAGGACTCCTTCAAGGTCACGCAGAAATTGTGGAGCTGGACACAGCCCCCTGTGGGGCTGTGAGGGACGGGCCCCGATGTTTCCCATGATGAGCACAGCGTCTGTCCCAAGAGATGTAGGTCTGTCTTCGCTGGACCGG